GAATTTTCGAAAGGAATTTTTTGAAACTCTGACTCGTCTATCTTGATACTCCTGAGAATGTGTCGCTCAAATGTCGAATTCTGTTTGGAGGAGAATTATTTCGTTAATTTGTCAAGAAGAGTCTTCAAAATATCATTTTTCTTATCGATATCATAGTCCTCAATGGCTCCTGAGAGGTTGTAAGCAACCTCTTTCAATTGTATCTCCCCTAAGTGTAATAATTTATTCCGTTATTTTATTACATCTGTAATGTCTTCAGCCGCAAGATATAATCAGAAAGATCGCACCCATTTTTCCCATTCACCCCTGATCAAAGCCTTGTTGATATTGTCACATATGAACGGTCTCATTCCACTCTCTGACATCTCGAACCTGAGATGATCAGAATATTGGTATAAAAAAGAATTATGGAATCAATGAAACCTCTGCATTATTCCAACAGTAATAACAGTATACTTTAAAATGAAAATACTTGATTGTCTCATGTTTGAATTTGGCAACAAAACGAAACAAACTCCAGTAAGAGATGAATCGGATCGATATATTTATGAATTTAGCACTGTCACTCATATTATAATATCAATATTTTCATGCAAGTTTTTTTTCTAACTCTAAGTATTCTTCACCTGGTGTATGTGGCCTGAGCCCCTTCCTAGATTCTGAATCGTTCTCTTGGGTTATCTCTTATGGCTTACAACCCTCTTTCAACCTATGTGGCTCACAGCTCTTCTCCAATTTGTTTGACTCACAGCCCTCCTTTTGGTTCTAGACTGCCTGCTTATGGCTCACAGCCATCCTCAATTCGGCTCACAGCCTTTCTTTATATGGCTCACAGCCCTCCTACACTGCCTCAAGAATAGGGTTACAGTATTAGTTATATCTTATGATCACATGCACACGATTTCAACAAAACCATAACGCAGTTTCCTTCATCATGTTTCTATTTTCATATTCAGTATTTATATTTTACTCACTTTAATTTTCATATTCAGTATTTATATTTTACTCACGTTTGTGTATAATAAAAGAAATGTATCCGCTAATTCTCGTCGCCAGTTGTGTTACCTCAGGGTTAACCACTTTGATAAATACACTGGTGTAACACAAAATACTTAATAAAACGAAATAGCAATTTACTGAAGGTTCTTCACTCTATGCTTATATCGTCATAACTAACTTACAATAATCCCGGTAGGTACCCGAAATCGTTGATTCTTCGGACATCATCCGATGTGTCAGCAGATACCTCGCGGCTCAAGTCCCATTACGTAAGAGCTCTCCACAATCTCTATGAGGAATACAATCTCTAAGAACACAATCAATTGATATGATTCTTTCTGCGGCATCTGGAGCTTTTATACAATTATAAACCTTTTATTGATTGATATACGCCTTCAGTTGTGCCGTTTGATATTGGTTGCAAGTTAGCTGCAGTTTTGAAATAAAATTCATGTCTACTCATTATTTCTTTGTTAATGAACCGTGTATCTGTATCCGTACTTTCATTTCCTATTCGACTAATTCTTCTACTAGGTACCTATAGACTCATCATCACTTCCACTTACCAAATCATCAATGATACACTCATTTCATTAGTGATACCTAGTTTCCTAAGTAACTATAAGACCTAACATCTAAAATATTTTCGCCTCTAGCAGATATTTCTCTGTGAATTTATGCATTCAGTCGTGCTTCTTTCATTGAATCGCTCTACAATCCTGTTAACAAATGAATCAAAATTATTTAACCTCTGATAACGTCTCTGGGTTGTTGCTTCGTTTCATATGAGTCTTTGCGGAGGTTCTCTGCAAGTCTTCTTATTTGCGTTTCAGCATCTTCCAACTTGTTCAAAAGGGTCTGGTTACTCATGAAGCGATGCTCACAATGGTGTTCTAATTGTCTCCTCTTGAATCTAGACCATCACATGATCTTCGGAGTTCGCTCAGCTCAATTTTTTGTACCACTGATTTCTGCATACCTTCTCGCACTTTCTTCCAGATGGAGTAACTTATGACAACAAATATGAATACTGAGATTGGGATGATCAATCAGTCGGTTTCAATGAGTGTGATGGAACTTGCATTACACGAACCCGTACCAACAGTTCGAATTTTGAATCTTTCATTTCACTTTCATTTAGGTTGATTTGATGAACGAAGTTAGCAAAAAAGTTCGTTCATTCTGATCACTGATGTTACGTTCGCAAGTGGAGGATACATTCTTCTGCTGATTGCAGTCTATCGAACATGAATATTCACGATATATCGATCAGCACATTTAGTCTGATCAAAGTATGAAAAGTTCAGTGACTACAATATTTGAAAAAACCTACTTCTGGCATTGCAATGTTCTTTCGGAATGTTAGAGATTGCTGACATTGCTCATTGCATGTAACGTCATTGATGGATGGATGGATGGATGGATGGATGGATGGATGGATGAATGGATGGATGGATGGATGGATGGATGGATGGATGGATGGATGGATGGATGGATGGATGGATGGATGGATGGATGGATGGATAGATGGATGGATGGATGGATGGATGGATGAATGGATGGATGGATGGATGGATGGATGGATGGATGGATGGATGGATGGATGGATGGATGGATGGATGGATGGATGGATGGATGGATGGATGGATGGATGGATGGATGGATGGATGGATGGATGGATGGATGGATGGATGGATGGATGGATGGATGGATGGATGGATGGATGGATGGATGGATGGATGGATGGATGGATGGATGGATGGATGGATGGATGGATGGATGGATGGATGGATGGATGGATGGATGGATGGATGGATGGATGGATGGATGGATGGATGGATGGATGGATGGATGATGGAATAAATATAATCGAAACACCAATTCGTGTAACAATATACATGAAGTATGAATTTATTAACTCTATATCACGATTTGCTGAATCATTTCGAAATGCTTCATGATCAGGATATTTTGTACACAAACTTTCAATGACTTTCAATATGCTTCAGTATATTTGCAAAGGATATATATATCGCAGAATCTGCACCTTTTGTTCAAGGCGATCTGCTGCCTCATTCCCTTCTATTCTATTCAGTGCGGCTTGACTATCTGAGCAGATATAAATGTTGACACCCCTCAAACCTTTGCTAAGGCACCTTGGGCCGCATTTATTTCTGCTCAAAAGATGATGGGAGAGTTTTTTCATGTTCTGGTTCCCACAAAAAGGGATATCCTATAATGTTCAGAAAACATCGTGAGAACCAAGGAAAATGAGGTAGGAATTGGTGTTCTGCTCAAATTTCTGGAAGTTATATGCCTCGGCAAACACCTCCCTTGGCAATGTGTTCCAGAGCCTCGCTGTTCGTTGGATAAACGAGTCTTTGGAAAGAGATGTTCTGCAAGTCTCCAAAGTGAACACAAAGGGGTGCGAAGCCTCAACTCGATGAGTTAATCTCGCGGGGACTGCCAAGGGAGAAACAATTGTTGATATTTCAGAAGAGCATCGTCTTTGAAATATCTATGGAAAAGAGCCCGATCGTCAACTTTTCTACGGTGTTCCAGAGTAGTGAGTGAGTTTGTGAGCGAGGCATCACTCACGAGACGAATTGCCCTTCTTTGGACAGAATCCAACAGTTTCAGGGTATGTTTGGGTGCTGCACTCCAAATATGGGAACAGTATTCCAGGACAGATCGGATCTGTGCCCTATAGATCATAAGCAGCTGACTGGAAGGGAAATAGCTCCTAGCTCGAAACAGTAAACCAAGTTTTTGGGATGCACCTCTAGTGACCAAGGACCACATATAGCCTACATCCAGATCCATGAATACCCGCGCATCAATGTAGCAACCAGCCGAGGCTTAGCGAAATCGCACCTGAGGCCGTTTTTTTGTGTCCACTTCGAATTCACGGTCTGAACTGAGACCAGCTGGCATTAGATCCGATGGCTTGGTTGCTGATTCCATTCGTGATCCTTGTCAAATAGCTTTGTGACCAGTGCTATCACCTTGTTTGACCATTTTGGTGGAGTTCAGTCTATATGCACTATGATCTGCAGTCATCTCTTATAAAATATCTAAGGGTAGTAGATCAAGCATATCTTCTATTGCTGTAGTGAGGAATCTGCGCATATTGAGATATTTGACCTTTCCAGAGAAGTTGAGTCGTCCCATCAATTATGGTGAATAGAACGATGACTATTTTGCTTGTGTTGACATCCAGGCCCTCCTGAAAGCACCAGTCATTCAACATGTTGAGTTCAGTTTGCATTAGGTGTGATAGATTCCTATAATCCTCCCTTATCATTATTATGTCAATTTCATCTGTATAGGTTTGAATATCGAAAACTGCGGTGCTCAATTTCCTGAGTAAGTTTTCGGCAACTGTTGACTTCTCCGGGGGCAACTTCTTGTGGCCTAAGCAGTTACCAAGCTACTTCTTTTATTGTTTTACTCCTGAGCATGACTTTTATGCAGCCTGTTGTTTGAGCCTCGAATCCCATGGGGATTGTGGTACGCTCTATCGATTCATAGGCGATGTTATCGAACGCACCTCCTATATCGATGAAACGCACAAAGCTATTCCTTTGTCTAAATGTGCCATTAATCTTCCTTACCGGAGCGGTCTTTGAAGATTTGCCTAATTGATGAGGAAACTGGCTTTTTTTTCCGCTTCTGATATGTTGATCACATGGTTTATTCTTTGTTTTCTGAAGAAATAGGTCTATAGGATTTAGCTGTTCGCTGAAACTTCTACTTACCTTTGGAATGAAGGAGAATAAGATGCATTGGAAGATACTTTTCTGGAACTCATATAGTTTTTCGGAAACTTTCTCGACATGGAATGTGAAAAATATTCAGTGAAAAAAGTTTGGTGAATATTCTCCACACATTACATCCCCAAATTAATTACAAGCGAATATAAATTCATGATACATCACTCTCTTCAATAGACTTGGCCCTTATCTACTTGATGATGAATTCGATGGAGATAATTCGTGGAAATGCGATCATTCGATGTAAAAATTCTCGAAGCTTCAGTTATAGCTAGGAAAATGCAAATGCGAAGCAGTTCGTAGTGATGCATTACATTTTTCCATTATTTCAATCAAATGTCAAGTTATAGCTTGCAGTTTTCCTTAGTCATGAACATGATGAAAACATTTAATGAACCTTCCGATGATAAATACATGTGTTCTTAAAATAAATACCCAGATAAATGCTATTTGATGATCTTGATGAATGATCGAGGATTTTACTCTCGACCTGTTATTGAAGTCGAATTCAGTAACTTAATTGTCAATAAACGTTTTTTCATTGTTTTATAGGTTTTCTGAGTTTGGAAGATCAATCTCTTGGTGTTCCCGGAAATGCAGGATTGAAAGATCAGACTCTCGCACTGAAGTGGATTCAGAAAAACATTCATAATTTTGGAGGAGATGCAAATAATGTGACGATTTTTGGAGAAAGCGCTGGGAGTGCTTCTGTTCATTACCTAACTTTGTCACCCCAGACTAAAGGTATAATGGTATTCATGTATGTTATATCTCTCTGCATACGGAATAGATTCATACAACTCTGTATTTACACTAACTAAACCGATTCTTGAAATATTGTATGTTAGCATCATCAGTAGAAAATCAAATCTGGATTTCATTTGAACAACTGCTACACTTATAATCGAATCTACAACAAAATTACTAACCTATTGAATAACTCATCAACTCCATTCTGGAATAATGAATTGGAATGCACTGGATTCTACATAACTATGCAATATCATTCATTATTTTCACAGGTCTATTTCACAAAGCGATAATGCAAAGTGGATGTGCACTCAACGGATGGGCAAGAGGAAAATCGAACTTCTCCTACATCGCCAAAATGATGGGCTACAAAGATACAGATGAAAAAACAGTATTTCAGAAACTATGCAGAGCCAGTACCAGGAGTCTGGTCAATGCACAATTCAAAGTTGAAGATGTAAGTTTCTTCACTATGTATATATTATTTTTTGAAATTCAAATACTCTGATTTGATTCGGTTCCTGAATTGCCGTTATATTTGTGATGATAATGATAGGGATGATTGAAGCATTGCCAGCAGATGATTTATTGTGTCCCATACCTTCTCTGCTTCTCGATTGCTTCAAGCAAACATGTTTTGACAATTCATTGTATCATTCAACATCCCACTGTACTCATTTGTAGCTACGAATTTGAAAACACCTGGTATAGTTTATGCGAAGTCAGTTGAAAAACTTCCGTTTTTGAGGACTATACGAGGATTTGTCGATTTGATTGACATTGGAATAGGAATGAATGAGATATTTTCTACTGAGCTTTCCCGGTATGCTGCCTTGCCAACTCGTGAAGAGAATTCAGGAATCAGCTGAAATAAGCTAAACCACCATATACAAAGTTATTAGAACCGGAGATGTAGATCATGAAGTTAAACGAAAGAGAGTGGGACAAAAACTCGAGAAGCATGATGATGCTTCGAAAGAATTAATTCGGCAAATTGTATATAGATTTTATAATGAAAATAAGGTGCCAACATAGCCAGATATCAGGTATAAGTTGAATGAATACGCGGATTATAATCACGAATCGTCAAGTATGTTGTGAAATCTTCTACAAGATTGCGGGTACAGCCATAAAAAATTAGACAAAAATATGGTGATTATGGAATCAAGACGCATCGTAGACTATCGGCAAGAATATCTACGTAGAATAAAGGAATACCGTGAAGCGAATTGACCTATGATTTATCTAGATGAAATGTAGCTTGACACTCATGACGTTGTTCAATACGGTTGGGTAGATGATATCAAAAGCTGTAATGTGAGTGGTCCGAGTTCCAGAGGCGAAAGAATTATAATCCTTAACGCTGGCATGAAAATTAATTTGTTGACAATGCATGTTGTTATCTGCCAAAAATATCGAGCAATCCTCTGCCGATTATCACGAGGATATGATGGCAGAAATATTTGAGAAATAGGCAGAGCAGCAGCTTATACTTTGTCAAAACTCCTTCATCCATAGAACGGCTAGGCTCTGGAATTCATTGCCTGAGGAAGTATTCCCAACAACATATAATCTCCAGAAGTTGAAGAGAAATTCCAATACCTACCTCCTATCCCTATCCTTCCTAGGAACGCACGAGGTTCTTTGAACATTATAGGGGTTTCCTTTCGTGCGCTCCAAGCGATGAAAAAAAATATTTCCAGGGAATCCTGTCATCGTTATGTTTGATGCGTCATACCATTCACGTGAAAAAACGAACATACCAACCACCAAAACCAAAAAGGCTGATATTATTCAATGTATGGAGAAAAAAGGCATGGGAATATCTCCTCAATAACTGAAGAAAGAATCACTGGAAATGATCAGGAAACAGAATTTCCCGAAGGTATATGTAGTTGATGAACTCTTTGGAGCATACGGCCATACTATCTTACGTTTGCCCCCATATTACTGTGTTTTCAACCCCATTGAGATGGTCTGGGCTGCTATTGAAAGCAAAGTACGTAAGAATAACCAATCACCGCAATTTAGCGAGTCAGTTTCAACCACCATCAGGACAGTAGTCAATGTGATGAACGATATTGCCATCTGGAGGAATTGTGTATTCTATGTCAACAAAAAAGAAAATGAATATTGTATCTAACCACGCCTCAATCCAGTGATCATAAGGGTAAATGAAGATTCAAGTCATGAAGAGTCCGATAGTGACTAGTGATATATTATCCATTATTTGTGTATAACAGTTACGAAAACTAATAAATGGTGTGTTGTGAATCATATTGTGATTATCATAGCCAGAGTGTGAAGTTTAGGAAAGTGATGTGACATATGTAGTGAAATTGTGTGAAGTGTAGGAAAGTGATGTGACATGTAAGGTGAAACTGTGGAACTGTACCTATTTCTAATTTCACCAAAAAAAAACCTTTCAGAATATTCCATTCATTTGCTAGGAATTTTCATTAAATTCAATGTTATTTATATTTTCTTTTGTTGATTATTTTCTTCGTATGATTCTGAACCAAGCAGAACAACGTTCAGTCGAGTAAGATACCTTGTATAATCTCGAATATACGTGTTTATTCATAGAGTAACTCCACCAATCAGAAATTCAGAATTATTGGCATTTCCATAGTACTCATCTTATTCATATTGTTACATACATACATATCTTGAAGTTCCTTTTACTACTGATAACTTTTATCAAGTTCAATGTCTCGTTTTCATCTTATTTTGTTGAGAATTTTCATTGAGTTCAATGTTTCATTTTTATTTGATTTTGTTGAGAATTTTCATTGAGTTTAATGTTATATTCATATTTTATTATGTTGAGAATTTTGATTTAGTTCAATTTTATATTCATATTTCAAATGTGGGACGATAGGGCTATAGGCGAACACCCACTAAAAATGAGTAACCAGCCATGGGTGCCTCGTGGGTGTACAGAAAACTTACCAATATTCGATATTCTCAAGTTCCAAGATAGATATAAAGGTAATTTTTGAACAATCAAAGATTCATTCAAAAACAGACCTTCAATTTGTGATAACGAAAAAAATATTTTACTTGCCGCTGTGAGCTGCGGCTTGTCAAAGGATTTGCCGAGATGCATCTGGTTAAATTTTTTTCTGGCTTTTTTAACTGACTTCGTATAAACTATACCTACGCACATTCTCTGGATCAATTTCTCAGATAATATGACGAATTCTTCTCAACAACGAAGAGAAATGATGAATATCTAACCCGAATCAAGTTGCATATTTTTATTACAGTGAGCAATTGTTTGAATAGAAATATCTGGAACTCTCAATTTCGAATTATCATCCAGCCTCAAAATATTATATTGTTAATTTTTACAAAAAATATAAAACAAGAGCATGTTCTGGAAACATTTTCTCTTCATATACATTTGTTATACCCCTCAATCTGTAATGACGTAATGAAGTCTCAGTGAGCACCCAAGGTAATGAAGTGGTATGAGATAAGTTCAGGATTTTTCATAAATACTGAAATTCCTAAAAAAGGGATATTTTCACACCAACATCATTCGTAAAAATGATCCAGTGTTTCGTGTAGCCAACCTGATGATTGATGGTGACCAATATGTCAATTGCACGGGTTATTTACAGGGTGGCATTAAAATGAATACACATATTGAATCCCAAAATATTCGATTTTTCTTATGTCATCGATTCAAAGAATTATTTCATCTAGAAGATTGAATTAGAAAAAAAATTGAGTACGCCAAGTCAGGGATATCAAAATCTCAATGGCTCACTTGATCACATAAAAATTTGATGTCATTGACATCAGAATTCTCAAAGAGTTGGCAGATTCATCATAGGCGAATACCTAAAGTAAAATTCAGAAATATCCAATTGAAGATACATAACCCTCACTGAAATTGAAGTTTTCATTTTACGGCAGAATGAAAATTCCTGCCCTACTACCTTTTTATTCGATCCACTCACAGTAACTTACACATTCGTAGATATTTTGCTTGCTCTGAACTAGGCTTCCAAATATGAAGTGCTTTTTTTATCCACGCTTTCATATCGAATAATTCATATTAGGTTTGTACTTACTCACCTATCGCACAAATTCGAATCCATGGCTATGACCTGAGATGATTTCAGGTTTTCACCGGTATTGACCACATTTTCAAGAATATCATTCCTGATTTCTCATAAAGAAATTTCATGTATTTTTCAGGGTACATACATTTTTCTAATTTTTCATCAATCTTCCTGAGAATCATGACAAAACAACAAATCATAAACATAAACCACAGTCATTGACAGTTGACTCAGCTGGAGGTCCACTAAAGGCGAGAATTCAGTTAACCATGACTTTCGGAATGCCGTATGAATGCATTTTCAGACCAATCAGAATGTATAAACGCGCGCATGCGTGGTTCGATTTTGACGCAGTTGAAGTTGGAATATCCATATTTTTGCATGCGTTTGGAGGGGTTTCGCTGAAGTTTCCATTCTGAATAATTTTGAATTTGTTATGGCAGGTTTTCAATACTGTGCCACAATATATAATGCTTTCAGATCGTATTTAGTTAACTGCGCAACCATAATCTTATGCTACGCGCATCAGGTTGCCAATTCATTCATGATCCCAGCAATTGGACACAAAATATCTACAATCAGACATAAAACACTATACGTCGATACCTTGGATATTAATTATTAGAATCCGTCTTATTGTCATACTCGTTAATCTCGGATTAATAAGATGATGAAGTGAGAATGAAAATACCTAACCAAACATCACGTGGGAACGTCGAAAACGCAAATTCAATTCTACATGAAAGATACCCTTCAGATCATCAGCTATCCAGTGGCCGTGACCACGGATGAAATGTTCAATCTTTTGCGCAACAAAAATGCTGAAGCGAAGAGTTGGCTGTTACCAGATACGATATGGATACAAAGTCTCAGTGGGGACATAGCTGGCCCTTGAACGATTGAACTGTGACTGTGCTTGAATAGATTTCAATGAAAGTTTAATAATTGAATCAGCCTCCTATGAACTGGCTCAAACTACTATGTATCTTCATCTCGTAGAATATTATAGATTGAGCTTCTTCGAAGTGCCCACCTGATGTTCGGTTAGATATTTGTTATTTTCATTTCATCTTCTGACATCTTGATGATCTGACACTCACGGGTTCCAGAAGCCAGATTCCAATAATTATTACTGGGTACCGACGTATAGGGTTTCATGTCTGATTGTTAGATATTTTGTGTCCAAGTGTTAAAATCATAATGAAATATGACACCTGGTGCGAGTGACATGCAATTATGGTTGCGCACTGAACAAAACGAGGTAACGAAATAGGGATCACATCAATAAGTGCGACTACTGGATCCGTTAAGCACTCTACTGTGATTATACTTTGATTCGAAATCATGATTCGAATTGTCTATTCTATGATTATGTGATATGATAGTAGCAAATGTCAAATCGTTATTTTGTTCATGTGCATTTTGAATATTGGAGTTTTCGAGACTTCGATATTATCTACTGAGGTAGTTCATTCTGATAAACAATTGGGAAATGCAAAATTATGGAGTGTGAAAATGAGTGGAACGCTTGTTTTTACTCCTTTCTGGGCAATTCTGCTGTCGGTGTCTACTATTTTTGTTGAGCTTTCGAGCTCGTGTGATGAAATGCTTGTGGGGTGAGTTGACTTTGAAATGTTTGCTTGGCCTAATTATTCCAATGTCGGATATATGAGGTTCTCTTCACACCATCAGAAATGGATGTGTGTCAGATCTGAGATGAATTATATTGGATAAGTTGCTAGCAGTTTGATTTTCAGTAGTTGTTCATGTTGGTATTTCTGTTTATTATTTTTTCGGTGATGTTCAAGTAATCTACCATTATACTTTCAGAACCAAATGATAACTATTTTCCTGGAACCAATTTCTCAAAATATCAGTGATGAGATCCAATTCGAAACTTGTCCAACATGATTCATCAGATCTGACACAGCCAAGTTTTGCAGCCACACCAGTTTTATGACCTTTGGCAACGTCGCTTTGTTCTCCGCAATTTTCTTCCTTTGATATGCCTATCTTGAGCGACTAGCTCTCGATGAGTAGAATCTCGGGCAGAGAAAGGGGTTCTGCCCCAAATCTTATTATCACCCCTATATTTTTCCAATGGTGTCATTCGATAGTGTACCTTAAGCAATCTTACGGTTTAAATCTAATGTATTGATTTTAATGCCACCCTGTGTATCAACGATTCGAAGATTCTGAAAGTGGAACTTGACGTGACGTTTTATCTATACAGGGTGTTTCGAAATTCGACTGACAACGCTTCACAGGAGGTAGCTCTCGTGATTTGGTGAATAATGAGGTAGGCATAAGGGTCCCACGTGATTAGTTATCGAATTACAGGGTTTTGAAGTTGGGAAATGAAAATAATTTACTCGCAATGACTCAAAAACGGCTGATCTTTCTTCATTCTCGAATAGTGATTCGATATTGAGGATATTCGTTTCCAGATGGAAAATTCATTATCAACAATGCATTCAGTGGCGCCGTTAAGGGATATGATCGATTGATTCTGCAAAAAAGAAAGTGTTGTGATGTGTATTTTTGAGGCTCACTTGATTGAACTCGACAGAACCCATCATTTCCGAGAAAAAAATGAAGAATGTGATTAGTCTACAAATTTTTTTACTCAGAATTGTTCAACATAAATCTACAAGAATATCAACCCAAAATTATAGTAAGTGTTCAAAGTTCTGGCCATTTACTTGTTTACACATTGTGGAACGTCTTTTTATCGCAAAACGCGTATTCGAAAATATCTCACGGTTCATGTTCATGATCTACGTTGCAGCCTGTATTCTTGCGATACGTCCCCCCTCAGTTTCAACAATGATGTCGTACACTATGAATTTCATATGACCTCAAAGAAATAAATCGATCGGATCCAGATCTGGTGAGCTAGGGGGCCATACGTGAGGACCACCACGTCCAATCCATTGGTCACCATATATATTCCACTGAGTGGAGCTTTTGCATTTCTGTCAAAATGTGCAGGCGCACCATCATGTTGGAACCACATGTACCTTCTGATGATCAGGGGCACACTTTCCAACAATTCTGGAAAAACTTCTTGTAGAAAACGTCTGTGAATTGATCCATTTAATTTATTGGGTGAAATATATGGACCAATCAGACAATTTCCGACAATACCTGCCCACAAATTGATGGAAAATTCAGTCTGGAACCCACGTAGACGAATTTCGTGTAGAGTCACGTCATTCCCTACGTGACTGTTCCTTGTTTTGAAAATTCCTTCTCTGGTGGATTTCGCTTCGTCAGTGTATAGAACATATTCGCGTCTTCACGAAACATATGTCGTTGAACCAATTACAAGATTCCACTCTCGTGGGATAACCTCTCGGTTCCAATGCTTGTACTCTGGTGAGTTTATATTGCTGTAGCATTTGTTCTCGTAGTACTTGCTACACAATGGAGTTGCTCACATTCAATGCTCGACCTATGGTTCTGGTACTCAACGATGGCTACGCCTTCCTGCATTATTTCTTCAGATACTTAATCTATCTGTTTCACGAATTCTTCTTTATATGCTGGCAAAAGTAGAATAGTGAGGAACTCTATGATACGGAAATCTTTCTTCGTACAGACGTAATACCATTCCACCGTTTCTTCTTGCTTCTCCATAAAATAATAACATATCAGTCATTTCTTCGTTAGTAAAATTCATAATCAGCAGAAAAATCAAGAATTTTTACCGAAATTATATGTCTTTATGATCTTTGCAAATAAAACTCAGTTTTATTTGAGGCAGCTTCTGACATCTATCAGAATTAATGAATGAATAAATATCGATCAATTGTTTCTATATCATTGTGGAAATCACTACTAGAAGGAGAAAAATGAGTTAAAGGTTAATGTGATAGACATAGTCTAAGAGCCCGTGAACCTTTTATACAAAGGTTTGTCTGTAAGGCTAGAAGTTTGTATAGTGATGGATCAAAGGCTGTTAAGTGCGAAAACCATGACCTGGCAGGCTTCACCCTTGCACGTCACCTTCCCCAATATGTTTCAAAGTGTAAGAATGATTTAAGAAATAAACTTTGCGCTGTAAACTTGTAATTTCATTATGATCCTATTTAGGTATTGCAAAATATGGAAAAAAATTATAGGCGCTTCTGATGAGCAGAAGTGGGTGCTGGGCAAGTCCAAAAGTGTGCAAAAGAGGACTGAAAATAAACTTCGCTCTGTAAGATTGAAATTCACACACATGTTTAACTGAGGTATTTAGAGCATCCGTTAGCAATGACAGGCAATTCTGGCCAGCAGAAGTACCTGACAGGCAAGAAAAAAGGTGCTACAATATTAGGTCGGTTGCGATCTCACGTATGTAACGTTTAGCGGGCTGTGGTGATTCTGATCTGTCAGGTATGTATGCGAATATGTCATCTCAGCACATTCATCCAGTTCATTGTTGTGTGTACTTTGTCCCGAGAGAGAATATCCCTGGGATGTCCGAGTATGAAATTAGGGACGTCCCTGGGCAATCCCTAGGATTCACTCGTGTTGTTAGGAAAGTGGAAATGTTGTTCACCATGTAAGATGTTATAAGAACTTTCTTGCGCTGATGAAAAAAATACCGTGGAAGTGGAAGATCAATTTCTCCAGATTTGTCAACCATATTCCCAGATGAGTGAAATTTCATCATCATGGATGGTAGTGGGAGAATTGAAAATTGACCAAGATTCGAAATAGGTTCATTATATCTCTCGAAAGCACGTTGCTTGACAACAGAGTGGCGCTGATCAACGTGCTTGAGAGAACTATTTTGTAATAACTTAGCAATTGCTTGTGTGCTTGAGAGAACTATCATAGAATAATTTGAGCAATTGTCGATGATCGAGGGGTAATTCGTAGTGGATATTTTCACTGTCAGAACTAAATCCTGATATTTTACCATGTTTTATCAAAAATTTTCATTTTTATCTTCTATCTTTCACGCTGAAACGTATACTCGTATAGCACCTTCTTCCTTGCCTGTCAGGTACTTCTGCCAAAGATTCTCCTGCTGGCATTATACATGTATGCTCTTAATACATTGATTAAACAAGTGTGTGAATCTAAATCTCACAGAGAGCGAAGCTTATTTTCAGTCCCCTTTTGCACACTTTTGGACTCGCCTGGCCTCATCAGAATCACCTGTCAATTTTTCTATATATTCTGAAAAACCTAGATAGGATCATAATGAAATTACAAATCTACAGCGCCAAGTTCATTTCTTTAAGTATTTGTACACTTTGAAACATATTTGACGTGTGACATGGTGACATGCAAGGGTGAGTCCTTTCAGGTTATAATTTTCGTACTTATAACTGTCTTTGATCCATCATCATGCAAATTCCTAGTCTTACAGACAAACCGTCATATAAAAGGTTCACGAGCTCTCCAGCATGAAGAAGAATTCATAAATTCACCACGGCAGGAATTGTCAATGAAAACAGTCACATATAAAATGGAAAGAACTCACATGGAATTCTCCATCTAGAATTACACCAAATTTTCAATAAATTTGTCTGCTGGTATCCTGAAAATTACCTGGTTAGTTCATGCATTCTACCTGATGCAATAAATGGACCAATCAACAGAAGATCCTACAGAAAAGTCTTCCAGAACCATTAGAAAATGTTCTGCTAAATATCAGCAGGAACATGTGGTTTCAACAAGATGGTGCTGGTGCCTATTTTGAAAGCGGCGCAAGAGCGTTACTAAGTGACCATTTTGGAGTAAACGGATTTGACATGAACCATACTTGTGGTCCAAAGTATGGCCTTTTTGGTCACCTGATTTGAATCCGATTGATTTTTCGTTGGATAAATAAGAAAATCCTAGTTATAAGACATCATCATTTAAACGTTAAAACTGAAAAGAAGTTCGTAGCAGGAAACTAGGCTGCAACGGAACATATAACTAAGCATAAACTATTTCCTAGGATGCATTTCGCGATGAGAAGACGTTGCACAATGTGTCAACAAGTCAATGGCGAGAACTTCGACTATAATTTTGGGTCTGTTATAATATAAATCCGTCTGAATAGTTTCATGTCATCACCATATGCGAGGTTGTCGGATTCAGATATCATCAACGAATAGCAGTACACCCATAGAATTTTACTCCTTCAAATTCGACCTAGACTTGGCGATCTTTCAGATACGTTTTCAAACTATTGGTAGGGTTCTGGGAAAATACGAAGAGGAGTCGGCTGTGCGATATGCGATCGAATGCCTTTTTAAAATCTGTGTATATTACATCCACTTGAGATCTAGAATCGAGTGCTTCGGAAAAAAATTCTTCAAATATACACAGATTTGTCGATGTGCTACGACCTCTCATAGTTACGTATTTATGCCTGAGGAACACGAATTTGATGATGAAAATGTGAATAAATCATAATTTATGGATATTTTTCACTATGAAGTTCAACTCCTTTTCCGCATGTCTTCTGGATCGCATTTAGAACAATTTTCCCTTCTTTTCCCATCATTGGACAATTTATATATCAGTATAAGTGTATATCACAATGTACGACACATTATTTTCTATTATATGAGTCAACTAGGCACATGATTTTCTTGTGATTTATCCATATTTGATGAAAAGAAGGGGAGAATATCATTTGAAATAATGGCGTCTGTGATATAATTGAAAAGCAATCTGTTGACATTCGACATCTCGCATTTTGATTGACGGTCGACTATTGATTAAATGGCCGTCATCTGGTATGCTTGTTCACTAAATATGAAAAAGTCGTCATTAAAATAATATTTCCTGTTGAATTTTCTATACATAAATATGTCATTGAAGTACATCATGAGTAAATAAAATGTCCAATGAAAATTAAAAGAGCAAATACCTGTAAATGCATCCAACAAGGAGACAAAAGCGAAATTTCGAACTTTTTCTCAGAATATCTCGATAAATTGTGGTTTGTTCATCATTTTCATAATCAAATTTAAGTTTTTCAGTAAAAAATATGTCAGTAACAAAAAAAAATTTCGAAAAAATTCCCATCGCATGATAAATGCAGTTTCGCCCTTCGTTGTTCTATAAGAGCAACAAATGCTTTGTTCATTGGCGAAATCATCATTTTCCATATAACCGATTATTGCTGTTGAAATAAATCAATAATGAGTTAGATTGAATATATTTTCAATTGAAAGAATTACAAAAATATGTTGTGTTACGGACACAACATATTTTGATGGATAAATAACATTCGGATTTTGTTGAGTTCACGATATTTTTGTTGATGGGAACATTTTATATTTTCTTGCACCATGATATGTCAATTGATAAGACGTACATGAATTACTATAATTCGAAGTTTCTCTTCGTTGTCAAAATCGTCAAAACATAATCGATCGACGAATTTAAATTGATATGGCTTACTCATTCAAGTATGGACTCACTTGCTGAACTCAATATACTTGCTCATGAGATTGATTTTTTTAGTCATTCTTCGCAAGTAATATACGTCCATTTGGACCAGTCATTGAATATCTCCATGAAGGAGCATTCCTCACCGAAAATCCTGAAGTCATACTGAAATCGGGCAGAAGTCACCAGATACCAATGATAATGGGTTATAATTCAATGGAAGGATTATTCTACGAGGTGATTAGGAAAACCAGGGCTGATGCCAATTTACCAAAAACATTGGAGAGAGACATACCACACGATATGAACATCCCTCAACAAAGCGAAAAATCACAACTCGTTGCACAAAAAATCAAGGAGTTTTATTACAAGGATGAAGATATCAATGAAGGAAATATCAATAACAGATACTTGGTGAGTTGTTTCGTCTTTTTATAATGTGTTACTCGAATTTCAGATCATCCACATGTTTTCATTATTCCAGATTTTATTTTAATTTTCTCTCCTTGTCTCTATAAAATAAAATTATGAATACTATTTCAATATACGTGTAGTGAGGACGAATCAGAGCATTTGCCCCAAAATGTCACTGCGTTTAAAGAATTCTCCTATCAGGGAGCCTGAAAGAAAAATTCACTAGCTTGTCAGTGACAATTTGTATTGAAAAAGATTGGTGGAAGAGAAATAAAGGTACCTTTATAGAGAAAATATCAAATTTTCACCTCTCTTTGGACGTTTCGGGAAAGAATATGCTCCTGTGTTCAAGATAAACAATGGATTTTTTGAATGGAAAATTCGTATTTGTCTTGACACTTCTCAGTTCTCAGTGACAATTGGTGACATTGGTAATCGAATGAGCCACAAGATGTTTCCATCAATTAATCTTGAATTCACTGTTTTCATTCCCAATTTAGTAGTGAATACCATGATCTATATATATCAACTGAACAGGAAGCAATACTATCATCTACGTTCAGAAGAATGCAAGCAGATTCCTTGATTTTTCTCTTCTGGTGTTTATCTTTTTTCCCAATGATTTTAATATTATTCCATATCGGATCCTTCAGTTGAAAAATGTTCTTTCTAGTCACAACTGAAATAACAGCGTCTGTGTTTACTTTTCACTCAAATGATATATATATATATATATGTCATATATAAATATGGATCGTCTCTACGCCAAATTATTCAGCAGAGAATCATGAATGCGTTTCATCATTGGACTGATGAGGACACCTGAAAAGAATTGGAATGGTGGCCAACACTCAAAATGTCCGAAGTATTCGATAGGAAATGATTTTTGATTTCGAATTCTTCTATTAGTTCTCTCCACAAAATCATTTCGTTATGATAATAATAATAAATCGTCTGATTGTTTGTTTCAGCTCGTGAGTGATTCTCATTTTGTCCACGGCATCCAAAAATCAGCTCTACTCCAGAAACTTCACGGAACCACTCCAGTATACGTCTACAGAATGAGTCTTGATAGCTCCTTGAATTTCTTCAAGAAATTCTGCGAAGTGAAGTATTTCAAAACCATGATATTCGTTACGATGCTAACCAAGTTATCAGGTAATTCTTCGCTAAAGAACGTTTTCCAGAATCTGAACGAAAAGCTCCCAGTCAAGAAAGTGAATGGAGTTGCCCATGCTGATGACCTATTCTACTTATTCTCCACCTTCTTCTCGCCTAATATCACCATAGGTAGCGAAGAAGATAAGAGTATCCAGAAATTTGTGAAGATCTGGACGAACTTTGCTAGAACTGGAAATCCCACTCCTGCATTAGATACATCTTTGGACAAATGTATCTGGAAACCCATAGAAGGCGATGCTATCGATAAGATATTCGATATTAACAAAACTAATACGTTGACAGATAATTTGGAGCACGAAAGAGTGAAATTTTGGGACAATCTCTATGAGACCTACGCAGAAGCCGTTTGATATATTTAATATTTACATTTTTTTACCATCTCAAAGATGATTTTGCGTACCTAATAGGATCATCGATTGTGTTTCATAATGTGATTCAATAAGTATTTTTCTATAATTAAGTTAGGTTATCGAAACTTTTATAATATATTTATCCCTAGTTATTAATGAAATTGGATTTATGGGCGTATTATTATTATTTTAAGTGCTGAACAATTATTCATAGATCATCACATTGTATAAAAAAACGCTCCACATTGTCATTGGAGGAGATCAGTTATCAATCATCACTGTAGTCTATTAGACTTTTGGTGGAAATATCTTCTTCAGATTTCGTCTTTATATAAGTATGTAGGTACAGCGTATGCAATTCGAGACCAACTCGGAAAAAATACAATATTGAATTGAGACATTATTCGAGTGAGATTGAACATAGTTTTATGAGCCCTCAAATGAAGTTTGTAGAAAAAATATTTTGGTATTATAATGAAGTCTTGTTCATAAGAAGCTATGATGATAACATAATATCCTCCGAATTTAATTTCGAGTTGAAGATCAGTAAAATGACACTTTTTCAATCACTCCGTCATTCTCAGATTTATTGCGTGTTAAGTTTTGGGGAAAATCATATCTGATGAATAGATAGTTACATTATTATTCACTTCTCAGATCAAATATGTGAAATAGTCAATTACGAGATATTACAAACATGACTACATCGACTTTTCCGATTTTTGTTACAATTTCGAATCCTTTAGAGCTTTTTATAATTCTTTGTCTCGAATGATGGCACATTCAATTAAACTGCAAATCATATCATGAAAATTAGTTCAAGTACCTCACTCCCTGTGGATAATCAATTTTCGTTTTCCGTAATTAAGTTGGTTTTTTCGCTCGAACGATGATTCAATTGTGTGAATTATTCTTCAATAACCTTTCATGTGAAACCCATATGACATAGCACAACATTGGCAACTATTGTAGTGTTCAAATATATATTTGAGTCAACTTTATTCAAATATTTATACAATGAAGAGAGATTCTCTTGATGATAATATATAATGTTTGCTGGATTGGGACAGGGTATTCAATTGTGAGATTTTATCTTGAAACTTTCCGATAACTTTGTGGGTTTCAAGAGCATGAACATAATATTTTGTAGTTTCAGGTTTTCTGATGAGTATTGCTCATATAGGCTTCTAGTAGAACTCTTTTACTTCGATGTATTGTAATCATTTCGGAGCATGAAGTTTGCGATGTGACAGTGGAAAAGTCATCAATGATGGCAATCACTGATAACGCCAACAATGTACAAAATTTTGGCGTAAATTTTCGTCCAGAGTTATAGAGAACTTTGGAATTGAATACTTCCATTGAATACCCTGTATCTGCAACATATTCATGAGGCATGTTCGGCTGAATCTTCATATTCTGGTGTTCACTATCTATAGTTATGGGATTGTCAATTCCTAATGTATCACCCTGTATTTCATTACAATTATTGTCATAGCGAATCTCAGTCGACAAGTAGTATATTGACAAAAAGAAAATATTTTTCATGATTAGAAATAAGTATATCATACCTACATCATCAGAAAGTTGAAAAGTATGTATTTTGCTCTTATGGGTTATCATTCTCTTGTGCATTCTCAGAGATAATAAGAGAGTGATTCATGTCAAAATGGTTGAACACATAAGGAATTCAGAAGTTTGAGTAGATACAATTTAAATACTTCTCGAATGCAACATCGCTGAAACCTCTTGTAATTTGGGTTCATATTTCTGATGTTTCTCAGATGACCATCTGCTGGAATTCAATGATTAATATTGAGACAAAACAGTGCATGATTATTCAGCATGAGCAACATATTTCAGTGTAATATTGAAAATACATTTATCATTCAATAATTCCTTCTATTCTGTAATCCAATATGGCTTCGTTAACAGTCAACAGGAGAAGAAGACGTGTATCGTCGTGACATATCTCAAGTTTTTTGTTTTTTACAAGACCTAGGTTATTATCTGGCTGATTTTGATAGATCACATGTATAATAGGTTCGTATTATTATTTATTCTCAATAAAATATTGATAAATTGTTCTGTAGTTTCCATTTCATTCCCTCATTTTCGGAAGCTCAGAATGCCAGAAAACGTATTTGTGAATGCAGATATCCGTTCTGATAACTGCTGGGAGGTACGTATTTCGATGAATGGGCCTATTCCATTGAAAAATTTGACTTAATTATTTTGAAGTACTAACCTAAACTAGTTTACTGTCGCGAACTGTTTGCACCTAAGAGCTCTGTACATTTTTCAGATAATCATTGAAATACATAAAACATGAAAAACGTAAGAAAAAAGGCGTGACGATATATAGAATACCGTGATCAATCAATCCAATACAACAAGTTATATCAAAGACTGACACTTTTGGCACGATAATACACTACACTGCTTTACCAGTATCCAAACCGATTTTTTACACGCCTCGACATTTGTTTCGCTAACTATGTGTGCATCTTCAGGAGAATATTGAAATTAAATATTTAATTCTAGTGTGTGTGTACCATATACGTATTAATAAACAATACGGATCATAACGGGTGCCAGGATGAAGCCAAAAATATGAAACAAATGAATATTCATAAAGATTTGGTGGCATGATACGCATGCGCCATGCACTATTATAGTAGTCATCAAAGACATGCGTTTCGGTGGACAATGACGTTTACTAGCCTTTCAATCAAAGCAGTATGTGTCTGATCGTTTCGAAACTTTTCCTTATGGATAGTCATTTGTCTTGAAAAATCGGCTTCATGTTTCGCTATGGAAACAGATAGAGATTATCCGTATTGATTATTAATACGTATATGGTGTGTACACGGATGGCTCAAAATTTGGGGGCAGTTCAGGTGCAGGGGTATACAATGACGGAACAGGGAAAAAAATTTCAGTTCCTTTGGGCGAATATGCATTAGTGTTCCAGGCAGGAGTACTTGCAATACTCACCTGATTCCAAGAAAACCTAATTATGAGAGGTCGTAGACCAATCACTATATGCTCGGACAGCAAAGCTGCAATACTGGCTTTGCAATCCAATAGGATCACATCCAATTTGGTGTCCGAGTGCAGAAAAGCCTTGGAAAACCTGGCAAAATCAAGAAAAGTCAGCCTCATGTGGGTCCCGGGATATTCGGGAATACCCGGAAACGAGGAGGCAGACAGACTGGCAAAGATCGGTTCAGGACGGACCTCAGTCGGACCGGAACCAATCTTGGGAATACCAAATAGCCTGGCAATGTCCTCTATAGAGGAACAGCTGCAAGAGCAGTTCCTCAAAATATGGCAGGACACACCAGGAATGAGACAATCGAAGCTCCACATAAAGGAATCTTGCATTTTGGTCGCTAAGTGAATCAAACAACAGTAGTAAACGGTTTTAATGAGTACAACTGTAGTTGGATGAAAGATGATATGTTCTGACAAGACAAAACTTATTTACTCCAACTAACGTCATCTCATCTTGACAACTCCCGCTATATGGTACCGAGGGTTCAAATAAATACAGACTCGACACTGAAAAATAACTGAACTCCAACACTTTCTCTTATTTTCAATTGTCGCAGTCAACTAGACCAAGTCCCTGGCGCATAACGTGAAGACGAGGACGAGGCAAGGGCTTCGTGAATATGTCTGCCAGTTGCTGTTCAGTGCTGATATGTTCGACGGTCATTATTCCATTTTTGATTCGATCTCTGATAAATAGATACTTTCGCTGAATATGCTTAGCACAAAAGTGGAATTCAGGATTTTCGGCTAATCTCTTGGCTGATTCATTGTCTATACGAAGAACAGAAGTCGCAGACAACCCTGTCAGCTCTTCAAATAGGCGAAAGATCCAAATAGTCTCTTTCGACCCGAGGTTAGCCGCAAAAATCTCTGCTTCGCACGTAGAGTCACTAACCACCTCTTGACGACGACTCAACCAAGTGATGGCTGCATCGGCAAACTTAACGACTACTCCACTAGTGGAGCGCATTGTGTCTGGACAGCCAGCAGAATCAGCGTCGCTGTAGCATTCCAGAAGATGCGTCTTCGGGTTGGAGCGATACATTAACTTCAAGTTAATGGTTCCCGCTAGGTAGCGGATTACGCGTTTCACTGGTATCACATCATCAGCTGTAGGGTTCACCAGCCGACGTGACAATACGCTCACGCTGAAAGCAATATCGAAACGAGTGCCACGGGCCACGTAGAGTAAGGCACCAACAGCCGAACGGTAAGGAAAATTCGATACCTCGCCTGGCTTGTTAGCGTTGGGTTTCTCCAAAGGAGTTAGAACTGGATTGCAACTTTCCATGTTGAATCGATCGAGAATCTTTCTGATGAATGCCGATTGACTGATAACGACGTAATCACCATTTAATTCGATCTCGAGTCCAAGGAAATATGGCACCTCTTTGGCTACAATCCTGAATCGTGATCGCAGCTGTTCGATGAATGAGTCTAATTCGAAATGACTCGTCGCTGCAACCAAACCATTATCAACGTATAGTACAACGATGATTTTTCCTGTTGGTTTTTTGCGAATATAAACACATGGATCTTCGAGACTGCGCTGAAACTCCAAATTTATCATGAAGTTGTCGAATTTTTTATTCCAGCAGCGCGGAGCCTGCTTCAGTCCATACAGGCTTCGTTTGAGACGACAAACTCGACTAGTTCCATCAGAATAATCCTCAGGCTGCTTCATAAAGATTTCCTCATCCACGTCACCATACAAAAATGCCGTGGAGACATCGAATTGCCTAAGAATCATTTTCTACACGGCTGCAATAGACAGTAGAGAACGTATTACTTTCAATCGAGCTACTGGACTAAAAGTAACTGCGTAGTCTATCCCGGGTCGTTGAGCGCATCCTTTGATGACCAATCTCGCGCGATACTTGTCAGTGCTTCCGTCAGGATTGCGCTCGATACGAAAAACCCACTTGTTGTTGATAGCTCTATTTCCCGAAGGCAAATCCATCAACTTCCATGCATCGTTGTCATGCATTGATTTGATTTCCGTGTCCATGGCTAGTTTCCATTCGTTCCTAGTTTCTTTGTGAAGAGCTTCATCGAAGGTCAATGGCTCATCTTCAGTGAAAAACACTACTTCACTATCTTGTGTATCATAGTCCTTGAACCAACCAGGACGCTTTCTTTCCCTAGACGACTTTCTAGGTATTTGTAACTGGATCCTATTCAGAACGATCTGTGATAAGATTCGGCTCGTCGATTGCCTCTTCTTCGGTTATACGGCTGTCTACTTTTCCAGCACTATGGTCTTCATCGATTGGTCAGGTTATTTGTTTATCACAGTCATTTACCCTCTCGAGAAAGACAACATCACGTGAGACCACGATATCTCCCTTCTTAGGAATGTAGACCCTATGACGTTCATCCCCGTCATATCCAACCAGATAGCCAACCAAAGCCTTTGGATCCATTTTTCGTCTCTTCTGCACCGGAATGTGTACGTAGCATTTCGAGCTCACAATACGCAGATGTTTGATTCTTTGCTTGAGCCCAAACCAGAGTTTGAATGGCGTCTTATCCGCAACTGAAGATTTTCCCACACGATTGAGAATATATCCAGCTGTAACGACGAGCTCAGTTCAGATTGCTGCAGGAAAATCGATATCAGGATTTGAATATTAGAAGGTACGAGCCATTTCCACGATTGTTCGATTTTCTCGTTCCCCGTTCTGCTCAAGTGTGTACGGTGCCGTCAGTCGCTGGTTCACTTCATATTCTTGAAGAATTCCACGTACTTCGTTGTTGTCGAACTCTTGACCATTGTCGCTGAGGAACTCTTTTACGTGGACGGCAGATTTCTCTCGTGCAACGAAACAGTAACGGTAACTTGAATAATGGTCCTTGGTAACGATCAAGTAACGACGACCATTGAAAGATGGCCCGCAAACATCACCGGATAACAGCTCACCAGGTGGTATATGGTATATGGTAATCGATGTGTAGTGACCCCAACACTTTGTAGGTTCATGATTGCCATAACGATTTGGGGGACTTTGTTTAAAAATCAATTTGCTGAATGATATGAGATTATGTCAATTTATATTCCTATAAACTAATAAAGTGAAATTATTCTATATTGGTGACCCCGACCTGCCTACAAATGCCTAGACATCAACGACAAATTAGTCCAACGGTTCAGCCTTCTCAGTGGAATCAAGATTCAACCTCTTCAATGGTGAATGTGTAACGTGTCATTTTCAGCATTGTACATTTTTCGGGATATTAGGATAAAATTTCGTAAATAATCATTTAGGCGATATGTTTATAATTTTCTAATAAACTTCTGCAAGTACTTACATGAGAAATAATACACGAGATATAATCTGGATTCATTTATCCAAAATAATATCGAATTGCACTTCACTAATTCACTAGACACAATAACTTGTCACATCATCGCTGTTGAGTACGAGGTACTGGTGAACCTGTTGCTCGTCCGCGGAAGAGTTGAATCTGAAACAAATAAAATAATATTTAGAACGTGAGCAAGTATCGGGTAAAATAGTAAATTTATAAATATTTGGTTGGTATAGGATTATACACGAGAACTTACCTACGTTTCTTCTGTAGGCTATCAGGTATCATGAGATGTTTTGTTTTGTTTACGAATTCAGCTAATAGGTTAATGAACAGCTGATTGAGATTATCTTGTCAGGCGCGATATCATATTAATTTTCTCGTCTTCTTCTGGTTCATGGTATCTCAGCTAGGTCTTCTTATTTTCTGCATGTATGGTAGTGGGGACATCCTTGTCTACAGCACGCATCAGAGAAGGATACACATTCAATGCGACGATAACTGTACGTCAAATGTAAGACTCGGAGAATTGTTGGCATATCGTCAATGTTCGTGTGAACTTCGATTCAGGCCGAGCGCACGAAATTTTCAAAATTGTCAACTGTTTTTCACAACGGAATTTTTCCTGAGAGCAAGTGAGAAAAGTAGATCGAGAAAAGAACGATCTCAAGTAGGACGGTTCTCGAGAGATTGAAGGCAATATGTCGGCTAGCTAGGA